GGGCTGTGGGTAGTGGGCTGAGGAATAGGGATTTGGGCCATGGGGTTGGGTAAGGGTGGAATTTGGTGAATAGGAGGAGAGTGGGTTGTGGGTAAAGTGGGCCTGGGGAATTGGGTAGGGTTGATAGGGCCGAGACCCTTACAAACCGGGTTGGGGGGAGGGGAATTGTCCAGTAGCTTGTCCCGATGGTGATTGCCGATGGAGTCCGCCACTGCCACGTCCTCGACCGCGGCCCCTGCCGCGGTTGCGACCGCCACTGCCGCCGCCCGAAGTCCGGCCGTGTCCACTGTAGCCGTGTCCGTCCGCCGTCCGTCCCTGCTGCTGTGCGCCCGCTCCATAGCCGCTGCCACTGCCGGTGCTGAGAAGGGCAGTGGGCGGCGCTCCAGCGCTGTAGAGGGAGTCCTGCTGCTGCTGTTCGACGAGGAGTAAGGCTGACCGGACCTCCAAGAAGGTGGGGAGGGGATTCTGGTATTGCAAGAATTGAACTTGGCCCCGGATTTCATGGGGTAAACCTTGGAGAACTTGAAGAACGAGAGCATGTTCGGTCACCGGTGCGTCGACATCGTCAAGGTATTCGGAGAGATTTTTGAGTAGACGACAATAGTCGTTCATGGAGCGGTTGCCTTTCACAGTGGTGCGGAAACGATGCTCCAATTGCATCGCCCGTGCGTGCTTGTTGTCGTGGAAGAGGTTGTAGATGGCCGTCCAAAGAGCATGAGCGGTGAGATTGTTGGCAAGGACGAGATCGGAAACTTCATCCGTGATGGTGGACAAGATCCACCCGTGAATGAGGGCATCAAATTGGTACCATTCAGCGTCGTCAGCGGAAGAAGCGATGGTGGTGCCGTCGATGAATCCCTTGAGGTTGAATCGGAGAATCAAGAGTCGAAACAATCGACTCCATTTTTTATAATTTGGTTCGAACAGGCTAAGCTGCACGGGGATATGGAGTTTAATATTTGATATGGTTGTGAAGGCTAGATGAGGGGAATTGTTGGAAGAAGAGTTGTCGGAGTTCGAGACAAACTTGCCGGAAGATGAAGAAGAAGCAGCCATGGCTATGAGAAGAGAAGGGATCGGCGGCTGTGAAGGAGAAGCACTGCCGATCGTAAGATTGGGGAGAGACGGAAGCCAAAGTTAGGGCTCCGATACCATGTAGGATGAATAATTTCCAATGAATAATTATGGGAGATTACATGTGTATATATACAAAGATTTCCTAATCACATTAGGAAACAATAATAAATACATCCTATACAAATATGGTAGCTACCAATATACATGAATATTAAATATAGTAAGAATATATTTAACAGCCGGGGGCGTTATTGCTGCTTTTAACGCGAAAGGCGCATTAAACACCGCCCCCTTGAGGCTTCATACGTGTTTCATCCCTTATGCGTCAAAAGTTTAAATTAACGGGGAGAGAAGAGAAATAGTGCAGGATACCTCTTTATATTCTTTCTCTTTTAAAAAAATAAAACATACACAAACATAATTTTGTACTCTATATTTTGTTATTTAATGTAACAATTTTTTGTTTAAAATTTTTTTAGTAATGTAATTTTTTTTGTTGTTTTTTAAATTTAACGTACTTTTTTATTGAATGTATTTTTTTATTTAATGAATTATTTCAGTTTGCAATATGTCACTACAACCCGGATTTGAATGAAGATATTTTTAGTCGCTCGAATAATCACTAATTTCTTCATAAAGTAATATAATGTTTTACATTTTTGTTGTTATTACTCAAATCTTATTTTGTTAATTTACTTTTTATTGATTTTTTATTTAATAATTTATTTTCATTTAAATTCAATTAATTGATAAAATGGTATTAATTTAATTTTAGAAAACGTATATTTAAAAATATAAAAACTATGGGTTTGAAGCCCCAGTTTGAAGCGTCGGGGCTTCAAACCCACTTCCAGTGAAATTTTAGTGTAAGTTAAAGCTGATGTGGCAGAGAGAAGGTTTGAAGCCCCGGTTTGAAGCCTCGGGGCTTCAAGACCATTACCAGTGCTCTGACATCTCTTTTGGAAGAGTCATAGTCCTATCGCTCGATCACAAGATCTTTAGCTGCACTCGTATAGGTTTATATTTAAAAATATCCTAGACAGGAGTAACATGAAATGAAAATACCAAATTTTTTTAAAAATAATTTTAATCCTCTAAATAATAGTGTGATGACAGTGTGTAAAAGTGTGGTGGCACGTACAATGGTGATGGTGGTAGACCACTAGTCAGTGATGGTCAATTTCGGCAACCGGCAAGGGCACTCCAACGACCTCACAACGTTGGCTGATGGCAGTTTGGCGGTTACAGATAACTGTGTACTTCACATATGACAGTCTGACAGTGTTTGACAGTGACAATGTAAATTTCTATTTAGTTCTTAAAATAGTAAAATCCTTATTTTGGTACTTTCTTACTTCATCTGTCCTAAAATAAATTGCTTGTTTACTATGAACATGGTCAAACTTCATTCACTTTATTTCTATTTTTTCAGTAGTAATTTGAAAAAATAATCACGTCATCACTAATTTTGTAGAATTTTTGATGTAGTATTTTAATATGTAATTTTTATTTTTTAATTCTACAGTATTTTTCATATAAAATGAATTGAATGTGTATTTCCGTGTATTTGCATTAAATTTTATGAAGGAATGGACCAAATTGAATGTGATATTGTCGGCCCTCGAAATAATGTTGTGTTGACGCTTCAACGGAAGCATCATTCAAGACGTGTTTGGTAAGAGGAAGATTTTCTTGATGCAAAAGTTTTTTTTGTCGGTATGACGCCGACGTTGAAAGCTCTTACGAAGATGATCAGATAGAGACAAATCTCAGAACTACTGGTTTTTACAGGTGCATCGTGTACAATCCATTAAACTGGATCATAGTTTAATCACGGTTCTATTGGCACGGTGGAGACCGGAGGTTCATGCTTTTCAGTTCCCTTTTGGCGAATTAGGAATTACCTTACAAGATGTTGAGTGTCTTCTTGGATTACCAGTGTATCGAGACGTCCAAGAACTCCGCACTGACGGATTAAAAAACGATTTTGCCTCCGTCATTTACAAAGTAACTTTAACACAGCTTTCCACAACGGCACATTAAAAAATATCATGTGGGCGGAAGGGAGCACTCCTAGCATCCAGGATTTTCAAAAACACGTGGAAGAAATCAAAAGTATAAATGAGGTTGCATATGCTATTCGACTTGAGTTTTGGACGCTTAGTCATGATGGCAGTCATCGATGTGGGATACTTAGTACCAACAGTTCAGAGAGTTTCAATAACATGTTAAAGGGTTGTCGGATGCTACCTGTAACTGCTATTGTCACAATGTCGTATAATAAACTCATTCATCAGTTCGAGACACGACGTAAAGCATGTTTTGCGTGGCAGAGCAAAAATTGTTTATTTACTCCTAAAATCACAAAGATTTTTCAGAAGCGTGAGAAAGATAAACAACTTTTTCAAGCTGTGCATTACGGTGGGCAAGAATATTTGGTAAGCAGAACATCAATGTCTAATCTAGCTAACATCTATAGTTTTTTAGTAGATTTGGGAAGAAAAACATGTACTTGCAAACAGTGGAGCAGCAACGGTATTCCATGTGTGCATGTTCACGGACTGTATCATTCTTTTCGACGGTTGGCTGACGACGAAATCTCTTCAATGTATTCAGTTGAACATTATATGAGATGTTACAATGTACAAATCAACCCTGTGTTTTTCCCACAATAATCAGTTTACGGAAATTTACGAATTCTACCTCCCGTTAGGCCCGCTAAAGAAATTTCTCGATATGGTCGTCGACAGCGAAATCGATTCCTGGGAGAGATGGATAGAGTTGCAAGGCATCAAAACTGAATTTTCACATTTCTATGTGTTGGTTTAAAAATCATTTGTTCTTTTAGATTATATTTTTAATTTTTGTTGACTTTTATTGGACAAATCTTATTTATGTTATGAATGTAACTTTGTTGTTTTAAATTTCTTATGTCAAATTAATTATATCATCATATGAGTTCTCATTTTAATTATTTTTCAATTAAATCAATTCTAAAAAAAATTAATACTCCCTCCATCCGAAAATAGTCTTCCTGTTTCTCCTTTTTTCTCGTCCGAAAATAATCTTCCCATTTCTAATTTTAACCCTAATTCTTCCAAAACTACCCTTCTCATTAAATAACCTTTCTTTCTTTTTTTTCTTTTCTTCCTATTCTTCTTTCTTCTTTTCTTTCAAAACTACACTTCTCCATCTTATTTCACCGTCTCATCTCCTCCATCTCCTTGTTAGTTTCTTCCATTCATTATTTCTTATAGATCTACACCACCACCCCTTTCTCCTTATATTTATTTTAGATCTGTTTCATGGTAACTGTGATGGTGGTACATGGGACAGTGTTAGGGCTGACCATGATGGTGGGGATGCCAACGGTGGTGGGGCTGGCAGCGATAAAAAGACTTATGGTGGTGGCAAGGGCTGGGCTAGCGGTGGTGGTGGGGCTAGGGAAGATGGCGGAGCACCGACGATGAAGGGGTAGTGGTGGGGCTCAAGTTGGCAGTGGGGGCCGGCAAAGGTCAGAACCACGGACGGCCAGCTTCATCATTCATTCACTAGCCTTTTTAAGGGCATTTTAGTCATTTCAACTCATAAGTCAACCATTCAAAAAATGAGAAAAAGTCCAAATGGGAAGGTTTTTTCCGGATAGAGGGAGTATAAATTAAGTTTTTTGAAAAGTAGAAATTAACTTAAAATAAAAAACAAATAAGGAGTAAAGCATGAGAAAGTGGACCGGTCAGAAAAGAAGTTGCTGACTTCCTTTGAGAGAAAAAAAGTAATATGTGAAATTTGGGTGAAAGTATGCGCCAGGCTGGTGAAAGTAAAAAAAGTAATTTCAAAGGAAGTCGTTGACTTCCTTTGAGAAAAATATGTTTGGGGTTTTTCGAATAGGAGTCAGCCGCTGCGTTTTTCCCTCTTCGGAAGATAGTCCATTTCTTCTTCCCTATCTCAGAATTTTTTCGTGTCCACTATGGATAATGGTTTCCTTGGGGTTTTAAAAATAATTAGGCTCTCTTTCAATTTCAATTCTGATATTTGGTAGTACAAAAAATATTTATATATAAAATTGGTAGTGCAAAAAAATGAATTGGATATGAAAATTCAATTCTATTAAATTTAATTTCATAGAATTCAATTCTAATTCTGTCAATTTTGTGTACCAAACGGACTCTTGTAGCAATTATAATTTGAATTTTGGTGTTTTTCCTACCCTCACAAACATAGTTTATGATATATTTATTTAAATAAACCTAGGGTATACCAAAATGGGGTACTCCATTTGTACACCTGACAAACACAGATAAACACAGACACTAAGTGTCTGTGTTAGTCCGTGTTTGCCTGGTGTACAAATGAGGTACCCCATTTTGGTATACCCAGCATGCCCCTATTTATTTTTAAAATGTTTATATTGTTTAGATTTAGTTAAATTGTCATGGACAAGTTGGGTGATCCATCTTTGAGCTAGCATTGAACATGTAAAAGAGGTTAAAAGTTTTCGGTCAAATAGCACCAGTACTCTCCTATATTTGGAAAATAGGCACCAATACTTTTATATTGTCAAACTTTATTTATAAATTCCATGTGATTTCAAAATGTTGCACACATACTCCCTCTGATCATTTTTTGACTATTTTTCCGACAAAAAAGTGGGCATTTGTGCCAATTTTCCAAATAATGGGACTACTGGTGTTCATTTCTTATTTTTTGTTTATTTTTTGTTTTTCCTTTTTTTGTTTTTTTAATCAAAGTTCTTTATTTTTTTTAAAAAAATTGTTTTTATAATGTTCTTAAAATTTAAAAATATTTTTGTTGGAAAAAAATTGACATACACTGCATTTGTATGTCTTAACTTAACAATTTTCATTTTTTGTTTTCTAAAATAGAAAATTTAAAATGTATTTTGAGAACTTCAAAAAATGAGATGTTTTTTGGCATTCTAAAAATTCCTTTTTATATTACTCTTCTTTTAGATGTTTTACTCTCTCTTTCCCAAAATATTTACAACATTTACTTTTTCAGCAGTCGCGAAAACTTTTGTTTATTTCTACGTTTTCATTGGTTATTTGACAAAATAAAATATTCTTGACACCTATTATTTTGAAGAACTTTTCATGTAGTTTTTTGATATGTAAATTTTATTTTTTATTTCTATACCAATATGTAAATAAAATGAATTGAAAAAACTTGATATTTTATCTCAGGAATACAAGTGTGGTAAATATTTAGAGACGGAGGGAGTAATTTTTTTCATTTTGTCTTTCCATATTTTTATTATTTTTATTTTCTTTTTGAACTTACCAAAAACATTATTCTAGAAATAGAAAATTAAAATGTTTAATTTGAGATAGATGAAGTATATGTTTTTTATTTTTATTTCAAACACAAAGAATTTCAAATTTTTGAAAACATTATAAAAATTCAAAAAAAAATTTAAAAACTTTTCTAGGAAAGGGAAACAAAGAGATTAATAAGTTTATAAAAGAAAAAAAACAAAATAATAAACAAAAAATAAGAAATGAGCACATGTGCTTCTTATGGTTTAGAAAATAGGCATCAATGTTACCTCTTCGCTGAAAAATGATTAGAAAAATGATCAGAGGAATGTGGGTGCAACGTTTTAAAACCACAAGAGTTTTAGAAATGTATTTTGAAAATATAGGAAATTAATGCTAATTTTCTAAACCACATAGGGCACTAGTGCTATTTGGCCAGAGTTTTCTACAAATTGCAAAAAAAAATCTTTAAATTTAATGGAAGTAGTATTATCCCGCATGAATTCGGGGACATTAATGATTTCGATGCATTTGATCCTTTGATATGTAAAAGGGGGTTTGATAAAGCAAATACACAATGCATATGGCAATTGGCATGGGGAAATAATGATGTCAAAATCTTATACTGAAAATCAAAAGTGAAATATCAACAAAATTATGGGATGTAAGAAAAATTTCTTGAAGAGAAATACTTGGTTCACAAACTCAAACTTCACAAACTTCACAAACTTACTATTTGTGGACTTTAATAAAGAAAATTAAATAGTCTAAAATAATTTTAAAATGAGAATTTAAACCATAAATAGTAAGTTTGTGGAGTTTGTGATCATTCTGTTTGTGAACGTAGCATTGCTCTTTCTTGAATGACAAAAGGATGTCACAACACTAGTTAATACAGTACTAAATAGCAACCCTTATTGGACTTTCCCGATGTTGTCTTTTTAGTCAAATATGTCTAATTTTGCCAAAAAAATACATTTTAATAAATATTATGGAGTAATTTACAATATATGAATGGTATAAATGTTTTTCAGTACGAAGACATTCATAAAATGTGCAAAATTTCCAACTTTCACGCCTCCACTAAAACATGTCAACTAAAAATATTTTTCAAAAATAATAATATTTGACCAAAAAGTCAAACTTGGCAAGGTCCAACCAAAAGAATGCAACATACCTGCCCTAAAAGGAAACTATGGGTTCAAAGAGAAACATTGAGCTTTAGAGAAGAGTGAGTTACCACAACCTCTTTGGAATTATCTTCAGATGTTGGGTGGATTGGGCACTCAAACTTGAGCACCACATGTAGAGGTCTGCTCACAATGAGGCTTTCCAAATCTCTCTGTGTTGCCAAAAGGTGTGAAACAAGCATTTCTTTGTTTCCCCTTTTGCCAGGGTCAATATTGTCCACTATCTTGGCGGCCTTCTGCTCCAAACTTTCGGCATCTCCGCTCTTTCTCAGCTTCAAATACAGTGCAGCTGAGATGATGATCTGAAATTGGGAAAAAAATATTATTCCTTTTGTCCCAGAATGATATTCCCATGTGAAAATAGCACAGGTAGTAAGAGTAGTTCGGCCGTTTGGTTGAAAAGAGTTATTCATTGGGTGGAAATGACTGCAATTGATAAGATGTGAAGTAGAATTTAATTTTGAGCAGTCGTAGGGTGAAAGTGACATTTCACTAGTAAAAAATCCAAAAAAGATACCCCAAGGATGATTTTATGGATGGCAAAAAGTACTCCCTCCATTCTTAATTAACTGTCAGGTATTGAAATGGTATGAATCTGGACATAATTACATCCAAAGTCATTCGTTTTGTAATGTACCAAGCAGTTAATTAAGAATTGAGGGCATAAGTGAGAAGATGATTCTGGAACAGGACGGCTACCTCACTTGTCCCAGGGCTGGTGTTGACACAGCAACCAATGCAAACTGTCCCTTCAGGAGTGACAGATTGAGAAGGACCCGAGCTAAGCACTACGTCTGTGCTAGATTCAGTGGGAGAGTTTTGTCTTTCGTCGTCTTCTGTTTCTGGTGCCCAAAAGGTATGGTGGTCAAGTTCATCATACCATTGTTGGGCGGTGTATACCTGAATACAACTCATAAAAAAACACTATCTGTATGCGACTCATAGACCCTCTCAACTAAATGGAATTAATGCATGAAACTTTTTTTATAAGAAACCTTTTCGGAAGTAGAGCTGCTCTCTGCTTCAGAGACTACTGTCGCTGCTCCTCTAGCTTGGCGCCAAATGCAGCTTTCACTCAAGGGTTCTACAAGATCAAATGACTTGGGTATCTCGATACTCATTTGTATATCAACTCTGCCTAAAATGGACACAACCAAAGCATAAGCCTATAGGTGAAACCGTGAAACGTCAAAGTGAAATTAGATATTGTAGGACACAAATGTAAACACAGATTAAATATGCAGGAGCCGATAAGCAGGGAACATTTAAATCACAGGAAGTAAAAAACCTGGGAGCAAGGCAAAATTTTCAGTGTGATCAACATTAAGTTCTGAGAGTGTGTCATGCCTGGAAAATATAAGTTAAATTCATTGTAGTGGTAAGATGATTATAAAGGGAAAGTGAAAGAGAGAAACCACTTTGCATGTGATACACTTACGTAGCACAAACTTGCTCCAGAGGGAATGGGACCCAATAAGGAAGACCCAAGACACTAAAATTTGAGAACTTCATGGTTGATGAAGTCCCGGATTTCCTATCAAATTTTAAAACCTCCTGACCAACTTCAAAGACATGCTTATTACACAACCAAATCTTTGTACATGCAAATAGCATGTTCTATATACTTGGAATTCTTGTTTGTATACCTGGATTGCAAATGATCATATCATCTTGAAAAGTTGCAATAGAAGACATTAGACCAGCATATGGAACTCCCTCCAACGAGATATTATTGTCCATTAGCCGCTTCAACAAATCACCTGGCACTTGTTTTAGAATATTTGACTTCTCCAGAATTAAATGCCCACAGATCTCCATTATATTTGAGAATCCTTCAAAGACATGCAAAGTGATGATGATGATTGCACCAACATACATCGTATAATATAATAACAAATAATGCAGTACCCTGGCAGTGGCTTCCATACCTTTCACAATTTCTTTGAGGGTCCCAGAGTGAAAGTCCATGACCCATAACGTCTGCAAGCTGCAAATAAATTTTTAACTTGCAGTCACAACAATGCCAGTTGTACAAGATGTAAAAGGTCACTCAACAACTTAACGGGCCATTTAATCATTTATCGGGTCAAAAGAGGTAAAGAATCTCAAGTTTCAATTGTTCTTTGCATGGCCATTGGCCAATCAAGTGAATAAACACAATCAAACTAATTTGTTTTCACAGATTCAATTGACTTTGAAAGAGAATGTAATGGGAAAAAAGCATTGTAGCAATGTTAGCTTGAAAGACCAACACACAAAAGGATTTGATAGGTCAAATAATCTCAAAAATTAATGATGTATCTCAATCTACAGTTCACTGCTTTGTTTTAAGTACTAGATAAGATAAGGCAATGAGTGAAGTTATGGGATCAAGTGAGAATGCTAGACTCTTACTTGCAATTAAGAACAAAGAGAGTGTTTTGGCATTTTAACATATGCCAAGGGAAAAGCAACGAATTTGGTGAACATTCATCAGATTTAGCATCAGGCTCCTTCTTTCTCGAAAGCTTGCCCAAAATCCAGCTCCATAAGCTATTGGAATCCTTATTCGAGTTTGTTGCAGGATACAGTGTCTCTACAATTCTCTTCCCCATATCAGCTCTCCTGATGGCATGGTTCTTTCACACCAAGAGCGATGTTAGCACAACTAACTACTGAATAAAGATTAAAGAGTGCATAAACTGAAGCAGAAAGAGAACTGGGGAAGAGGCAGACCAGGATATAAAAGAAAAAGCGATCTAACTACGTGAATTCATGAATACAACTACAAATGCATAACTGAAGCTTGGAATACTTGTTTATTACGCCTAAAGACACTAAAAGAGCAGTTGAGACCAGGGTGGCCTGACATGCCGAATATGGACACTTGCAATCTTTTGTCAATAGAAAATAAAAACCAAGGGCTTTATGGAATACCTCTGAGTCCACGATGTACAAGCAATCTTCATCAGCATGATAAAGTGATGCTGCAGGACGCATAAATTTTGCATTTTCAAAGTCTCCATCTTCAAAACCAGGAGAGGAACCAATCTACGTTAGAAACAAAGTTTTCAGTTGGCATGTTTTTAAATACTTATTATGACAATGTTAATATCATCTATTGATTAGCAATGTACTTCAACAAGTCTGTATAAGTTTAAGGCATACCGAGTCTAGAATTCCTCCATGAGCATCAATCACAATGATCCGGTTATGATTACTATCAGAAATGTAAATGCGACCTCCGGTCTCATCAACTGAAGTACAACCTACCAGAAGAGCAAATACAAACTGTTTCTAACTGTTCAAGCAGACAATATTAAAATAGACTATGCAAGGCACCAATGATTACAGTCATTACACATGCCCGCACGCCCCCATAAGAGATAAAAAACAGACCAAACCAGGCAACCATCAATAATACCCCCTCTAACCCAAAATGAAGTTCACGCTTTCCTTTTTTGGATGTCCCAAATTGAAGTTTGCACTTTCTCAGTTTCCTATTGAGGAAAGAAATGTGTGGCTCACAACGTTACTCCCCCTTCTAGACAAATTTCAACCATACAGTTTTACTTTTCAACAAATGAAGTAAATTCATTTTGGGACAATGTAATAAGTTAAGAATGTTTCAATTCCTTTATGTTCAAGTAAATGGCATTGCTGAAAAGTAATCAACACATTACGCCAGACATTAATAATATTCCCACTGTCACACTTTACTTTTCCCTATAACTATTCATGTGATACCCAACTCTTTTTTTAGTTGCTTAGTTCTAAAAGAAACTTTTATCACACTCAAATTCTATTTTAGAAACTTAAAAGAACTTTTGGCTTAGTTTTATTTAAAATATGTAAATATTATAGAGCAATGCCGAGTTAAATGTAGAGGAGGTGGAGGTAGAGGTAGGCCTAACAAGAGTTGGAAGGAGGTGATCAGACAAGATCTAGGTTGTTTAGCCCTAATTGAGGATATGACCTAAGATAGACGAGGGTAGTTGGGTAGCTTCTGGGACTCTGTGCTAGTCTCTCTAGTTCTTTTAGTGTAAGATGGTTAGCCTTTTGCACTTACTGTTGTGTACTTTTCTTGCTCCATGACTTTGCTTTTTTTCCTTTTTTGTCTCTTGTGTTCTGTTGTTTCTACTCTTAGCTTGCCCTTTCTTTCGTGCTCTGTGCTTTATGCTTTGCCCGAGTTGGGGGTCTCTTGGAAACAGCCACTCTACTTTCAAGTAGGGGCAAGGTCTGCGTACACCCACCCTCCTCAGACCCTACTTTTGTGGGATTACACTGGGTTGTTGTTGTTGTTGTAATGCTGAGTTAAATGTAATTTACTTCATTTGAGCGTCATAGACTTAAAATACTAGAAGCCCCTTATAATTTGATATGGAGGTAGTAAATTATTGCATTGAGACCCATGAGGTTCTTTTTATCATGGGGAATATAGTAAATAAGGAACTAAAGCATAGGGCCCAGGAGAAACATATACCTGGGAAATAAAGGAATAGATTCTGTAAGGGAATACAAAGATATGGTTCCTTGAATACTTCAACTGGTTTTTGCCAAGGACTATTCATAGTATGCATGAAACCAAGAGTCTTCATATGCTGCACTTTCAAATCTTTGATGGCTGTTACTGTGAAGCAAAAAGCAAAGATGCCTTATCAGTAAGATCACCAGATGGATGAAATTATTAGAATACAACAAAGAGCAATACTATCAAGTATTCAAGTATCAAGGGAAATGGGGCAGATATATGAAAAACAAGTTTATTATTATATCTAACAGCCGAACAGCCTCATTTGTAGGTAGTAATTTGTCAAGGCTTCAAAACGCAGAAAAACAATAACAATACAGTCTACAATGCAACACCATGTTGTATTTGTCTAAAAAAAGGTTTACTTTCTTTTATTAAAGACCAGTAATTTTTTTCTTTTCCCAACTCACCCTTAGTCCCTTACCACTTGTTGACTTTTAAAAATGATGTGATTGTGTAGGAGTCCTCTTTGAAAGTCAATATAGTAAATTACATCACAAAATATCAGTTTTCATTAAAAACAATGATAAAAGTAAAAGTGACTTTAATTTGGGGCTTTGGTTGGATGAAGTACAAAATACATACCATATTGGGTAGAATTGTCCATCCCGGATTTGTTTAACTAGTAACTTGTCAATCTGGATGGTTCTACACTTTTCTGTTCTAGTTGACTGGAATATTCTGTTCGAACAATACTCTGTTCTAGTTTACTAAGCACGAACCAGAGAATACTCTGACCAGAAAATGAACCTAATGTAGGCTCTTCTGGTATATACTAGTATATGTTCGCTCTAAATAGTTTTAAATTGTTCCAGTCGAGAGTCAGCTTCTATATATTCATAATTATCAGTTCTTTTCTATAAAACAATCCATTTTAGATTTAAATATCAAGAAGCAAAGACCCCTCTGACCAGAAAGTTAGCTTAATTTCAACTTCAAAGAATCAAAGAAAATAACAAAAGGATGGCATACCATTGTCCAGAATCATTTGATCTACTTCCTTGGGATGGTAAGTTATAGGACTCTTAGGGCCCTTGAATATAATGCAACATGGACTTTGAACAATCTAAAATTGCAAAATAAAAAATACGGAGTGTAAAACAAAAGTTAAGGACATCAAACACTTGTCTAAATTAGGCAGAGGAAGGACTCGGGAAAATCTTCAAAAGAAGTACCAATCTAAATCATAAGATTACGTGGACCAAGTAAATTATACGATATCTGATTATTGATCAGCAACGTGTTAGAAGTATGGTCCATTCATGCAAAAAAATGAATCTCCTTTTAAAATTCCATATTTTGAATGAGCATTTACAAATGTTAGCTCAATAGTGGTATGCAACACACCTTGGGGAAGTTCGTGTTAGACAGCAAAATAGGAAAGCTTATGTATTCCTTCATTACTCTTTGGAGTAAATGTGTGTAATCATATTTGGAGAGAATTGGTGATGTGGTATACTGATATCCCATTACTTGAAGGAAAGGATACCTGCAATTTCAAAGGCTCAAACCAACCACGCAAATTATTAGAGAAGCCAATACAATGCAAAGACATGTTACCTCTGCTGAAGTAATTTGACTTTCTCAAGCATGATAAAAAGGTCATGATGTGTCGAAGGGGAACCTTGAAAGAATTCAGCTACAAGAACTAATGTAATGCCTTCTTTCTTGAATATATTCTTTTTTGTCAGAATTCCATTTAACCAAATATGAGAAGGGCCTAAGCATTCAAGTAGAAATGAGAGAGAGAATGTTAGGGATGGTAGAAAAGAGGGTTCTTATGCTTTTGCACTTCAAGATAGGAAAGCATGTTTAGTATTTAGTACATATGAAAGCAAATATGTGTATCAAACTAACTAAAAATTGTGTAGGACTCATCAAGGTATACTGAAACCCTGAAAGTTCTCAGGTACTTCAAGCACAATGACAGTGTGACTGGTCCTATGAGATGCTTCATGGACAGTTACTGCACGAAGGATCTTGATAACAGTTTATAACAGCTCACATAACTCAGTTCGCACTCAGATTCATTAACAGAAATATGGTTCACAACTTGTATTAGGGCATATGGTTCTTAATATGTTATTGCAAGAATGCAAGGAACTATGGTCTGTAAACTTGTTTCACCTTCATGCTTGCTAACGGTAGATTGAATGAAAGACAACAAGTCAAGTTGTTGAAGAGACTCTTGTTTTGATTTTGGCATAGTTGAAAACCTGAGAGCCACTGTATGTTAGAAATGCAGCAACATTAAGATTTGTAAAAATAGGAGAGTATATTTATTCAGTTCATATAAACACTGATCTTGTACAATCAAAAAAAAAATTAGTGCAAGGAAATGAAGATGAAATTCTGGAAGCAGTAAAACATGTAGAAAAAAATCACCTTCGATAAATACAGCGTATGTAATCATGATTTTTCATGCTACCAATTGATTCATGAAAAGATGAGGGCAAACACAATGGAACTAGACTTCCAGCTCCTCCAAGAAGCTGATACCTCTTCCCTAACAGTTCCAATAGGAAATGATTAAAAGAAATAGTTGATTTATTAAAGGATTCAATAATATTCATTGGAATTTTGATGCTTAACTTGTGTGATTTACACATAAAAGCCTCTGAATTTCTTTCAATAAATGAGGCCTTAAAGCCACCCCTTTCCCCATTTTCTAAAAATATGGGTTTAACACCAATGCATTCCCTTAAAATGACCACTATCGAGCACGAGACTTTTCTGCTTCAAATAAAAAGAAAGGTTAATATGTTGTCTCAAAAATCCAAAATCTATCGGCATCTGCATTTAACACAAGAATGTAAAAATCAGGTAGATAATGGACTAAATTAAAATGGGACATTAAACTTCCACCGCTCCATGCTCTCAATGAAGTTTTGGGCAGTCAATACAGCAATGCATTAAGGGTCTAACAGAAACTGTCTATCTATATATGGCTGTGTACATCTTGACTCCGAGACCCCGACGAAGTTGGAATTATAGTACTACACGGAGTACTAGGTTATTGTTTCTTGCAGAGTACTTCTTAAGAATGTAAGAATATAGCAGTAAAATTTGCATAAATGCAAAACCTACCATTATTTGGTGAACTCCATTTTTAAATGACTGAAAACCAGAATTTACATTACAGCCTGCGAAACTAATGGCGTAAACCCTAGTGAACGTAATTGGCTAAGTCTGCAAATTGAAGGTTTAACCACTATTGGCCATAATTCATTGATTCAGCACAGAAGCTCAAATATAACCAACATAAACACTCCATATAATTTCAGAATATAAGTATAGAACAATAAGTGCCACACCGGCCATTCATAATTACCGGTGGCGGTTGGGCGAAAACTAGAAAGGACGGCAAATTGAACTCTGAACTTCTAAGCCGATGAGTGGAGCTGTGGAAGAACGAAATGCAGAGCAAATGGAACCTAAGCCCGTAGCATGTCGTCACCCCGTATGCCGTGCTCTGCCGCGACGGAAACCATTGCGAGTGTGAGGGTGTTTGAAGCTTTTTGTGAGTTAGTTTTTGATAGTGCTGCTAGGTTTGAACAACTTTATGTTTCATAACTTTCATTGGATTAATTAGTTCTCTAATTCGTATATTGTACGGACAGTATTTTAAATCAGTAAAAAATAGTGTATATAAAGACAACAGAATGAAAGTGTTTTCAATATAAACATTAAAAGTATTATATACTAATATAGAGGAATCCATAGTAAAGACAAAAAACGAAATTAAAGGTTTTGAAAGCTTGCACTATATTTCTAAATCAAGTTAAAATAAATGTAGAACAAAAATAGCGTACAATAACATAATCAATAATAATGACATTATTTTTTCTTGAGAAATACTAAAGTATTTGTACATAGAAAATTCAATATACACTTTGTATGAGATACATATGTACTTATCAATACTAAAACTATACTTTTAAAATCAATTTTTTTATTGATTATCCAGCATACACTTCAAACCTTAGAGAAAAAATTTAAGTCATTAACCCAAGGGTTTCACATGAGAACAAATGCTACCATACATAAGCAAATCCAAATTGCAATGAATGAATATAATACCTTTGCCTCATCAATTGAGCTTAAATTTTCTCTCATCTACATGCACTTCTTCATTTTATTAGATGAGATTAGAACAGGCTTAAAAATGTAAACAAAAGTTTATTTCCTAGAGCAACATAAAAGTTTAACAAATGAGAAGGGAAAAATGCCAGACAATGTCATGGGAACCGCTAATTTTACGAACAGGGTACCGGAGCCCCTCAAAGTCATCCCATGACATTGTCGGACAATGTCATGAGAACCGTCCTCATGTTGGGTCGGATTCTCATGATATTGGAACCTCCATGTCATGAAATGACATTGGAACATTCATTCGTAAAATTGACGATTCATTAGAAAAATATACCGGACACCATAGACGTCAGATGTCATTTAATGACATTAGTTTCCAACATTAAAAACCCCAAGTATTTTAAAATTCAAACCATTACTTTTTCAAATTAGACATCATAAATGCCTCATTTCATTTCATTTCTAATGTCAAAGGCTGATTTTTAAAATGTTGAAGGTAAAGGCAAACCAATCGGGGCAAAACCACCAGCCAAACAGAAAAGCTCCGTCCAGCTAAAAAAAGGCAGAGAAGATGGGGCAGAGGGAGAGAGAGAAAGAGAGAGAGAATCTAGAAAATGAGCTACACAACTACCCACGCCTTTCACTTCCTCAAAAGCCCAGAAAGAAAAAGCAAAAATCTTTAATTTTTTCCGCATTTATTTATTCCGCAGATACGTTGTTGTTGTGCTATAACTATCGACTGGCCAATGGGGGAAGAGAATGAGTGACCCATGGCCCCACATGATGAATGAAAAGAAAAAAAGTACTTCTACTGTACAGGATAACAAGAAAGACCAAATCTTGAGCTTTTTCATGTCCTTTGTTATTTGCAAGACTTGATTTTTCTTCTTCTTCAGAGAGAGAGAGAGAGAGATCTCAATCTCATCTGGGCTCTCTCACTGATAAAAGCTTATTCTTTTGTATTAAGGCTGTGTTCTTCAAATGTCTTTTCCAGTGCAAAGATTGCAGCTTTTCTGGTCATGGGTGTGTGCCTTTATTTACACTTGGCTTTTATAGAGAGGGATCTATCTTCTTTCTTCTAAATTCTGACATCTTTCAAAGAATTTGATTGAAAATCTGGGGTTTGAGGTAATTTTGCTCACTGCTGAAATCTCTCTGGTTCATGTGGTCTTAATTGTTGAATCTTTGTTCTGGGTTTTTCTTGATTGCTAATAAGATTGACTAAGAACCGAGAAAATGAGGAAATTGGTGAGATATATCTTTTCAAGCACTGTTGAAGAGTGATATCATTTACATGAAATCTTCTTCTCTTATATGCCTATGCTATTTCTGGCAATTACTTTAATGGCTTTCATGGGTTGTTCAAGATGTTAAGACATAGAAGAATGCCATCAATGTAATTTCAGTTCTTGGTCTCAGCTATCCATTTTTCTTTTACTTTTTAAGAAATACAAATAAAAGTTATTCCTTTGATGTGCACTATGGTCCATAGTTTTGTTTTTGGCAAAGGTTCTTGTATATATGCAAATTGTTTTACTGTGTTATACTCCCTACCCACATCTGAACTCATGTTTTGACTTTTCACTTTTTTAAGACAGTGAAAATTTTGTGGTTGAGATTTATAACAGTATTAACCACAAGATCCTTGAAAGATGAGTAGACATTGGGGTTTTTAGATTAGTAGTTTGATTTGTATTGCTTTGATACTCTAACCTGAACTCTTTCACTAGATTGCTGGAATGGGGACTAAGGTACAGTGCAAGACAGTTTTGCCTGCATTCTACTCTGTAAAGGATATAAACGGAAGCTTGAGTAACGGGATGTGTTTACTTAACAACAATGAACAGACAACGCTGATTGGTCAGCATTTTGAATCATTTTCGCTGCGATTTCCAATGGATGGATATTTTGAATATGAAAAGGAAAAGGTGAGGCAAACGATCTTGAAGCACGAATCAACATTCAGGCACCAGGTATTCTTTCATATTTTGACCTTACAATTCTTGAACGAGTTTAAACTTTTTTCGGACATTTGGTTCCGAGATTTTGAGATGCACACAATCTTACTCCCGTAATAAATAGAGGATTCTCATAGACCCTTGATTCATTGCTACATTTATGTGATTTCACATTAGCGTCCCAAAGATGATCACTTCGCCTTATTTAGTCATCCATAGACATCAAACATGAACCAAACATCCCCTTATGGTAAATTATATTCATGCAATCTTACATTCCTTTACCAGCAGATATCCAATTACCTAACGGCGTGTTTGGGAACTGAAATTTGGATTTCAAATTCGGATTTGGTTCAAATTCAATGTTTGAGACATCTTGAAACTTTGGATTTGGTTTTGAGGCAAATTCCTCTATTTCATTACAGAGTTCAATTGCAAATCCATATGTCTCCCCTTGTTTTATGAAATTCCAGAATTCAAATTTTGGAATTGAAATGCAAGATTTGAAATGAAATGCTGGTTCCCAAACACTACCTCTAAGGTAATTTCATATTCAATTACGAGCCAAATGACCCCTTCATAGACATGCATAAGCGTAGATGTAATGATGGCGATGACTTGAAACATTATGGATATGTACATTCGAACTATAGCTTAATCTCTCTTCTAATATTCCATGTACTGAATCCAATGTGTTATTGGCCATTCAGCTCCAAGAACTTCACCGTCTCTACAACAAACAAAGGGACCTAATGAGTGATTTGAGAATGAGAGAACTGCACAAGAATCCATTGGAGGTTGAGGGCTGTTTGTCTCACACTCCTCCCGATGAAGCGAAAAGAATGTGGCATGCTAATCATTTTCCCTTGACCCATCGCCAAGTGTCCTCCTCTTCAGGCACTCATTACCCCCGGGCTCTGTTTGGATGTAGAGAATCAGCAAATAGGGCTGTCCTTGTTTCCATGCAAGGCAATGAAGCCAAACAAGGCGTTAATCCCGTGAGATATGATACTTATTTAAGGAGGAACGGTTGTCTTGCTGACTTGAATGAACCGATTGTGATTGAGGACGATTATACCCCAATCTCTCCCTTCAATGACACCCAAAATGGGAAGAAATCCAGTGGAAATCCTTTTGTGGAAAGGAATGGCGGAACTTGCCTCCAGAACATACAGTCGATTCATGGAGAGTATAGACATGAGAACTTTTCTCTTGACATAAATGCAGGTAAGGGGTTTTTTTTAAAACTTTGTCTATGCTTCTGTGTTTAGGCCGGGTGTCTTTGAAACAACCTTACACACACCTAGACCCCTATTTTTTGTGGGATTTACTGACTTTGTTGGTTTTTTTTTTTTTTTTGCAAATGTGTCTTATATGTTGTTTTGAGCATTCTGTGTGTCCACTTCAATGCAGATGCTCCATCATCTGATGATTTGCCTAGCAATACCAATGCAGAAACGGAGATGAAGAAGAAAACCATTTTTGGAGTAGTTTTATCAGAGGGCAAAGGAGAACAGATTTTCTCTGCTTCCAGTGGGATTGCTAATATCAGTTCACAGAACCAAAGAATCGAGTTAAATGTAGTCGAAACAGGCAGGAACGGCGGCATTATGGTAGAGAAGAGCTATCACATGAATCTTGATTTGCTGCAGAATTGTTCTCATCAGTTCTTCAAGAAATCCGAAGCAGCAGCTGCAGCAGGAGAAGATGCTGCTAATGTTGTTAATAAGAAGATTTTTGGCGTTCCAATTTTCAATTTCTCTGCTGATTCTGGTAAGGTGAACACAGATGAAGCAGCAACCGCAAATCATTTCGAAGATTCAGATTCTGGTTTGAGAAATCAGATCGATCTTAACGTCTCTCTCCACGAAGAAGAAGGAGAGGCTCTAACGGTTCTCCAATTGGAAGAAAACATTGAAGATGTTACAAGACTAGCTGCAGAGGCTATAGTTTCCATCTCATCAATCCCATCATCATCTGGAGATTGCCTCAAATGGTTTGCAGATTTGATTAGTTCCCAAATTGACGAATCATCAACCCTAAATGGTGAAGAAGAAGATGATGAGGAGGAGGAGGATTCGATCCCAGAAGGGATGGATTACTTTGAATTCACGACGTTAAAATTGAGAGACGAGAAGTGTTACGAGCCATCAATTTTGGACGTCCACTTCGATGGCGGCGGGGGAGCCGGCGGCGAAGGAGAAACAAGAGAAGTAGTTTCCAAACGCCGGCCGAGAAGGAGAGGGCCGGCGGCGAGAAGAGACTTCCAGAGGGACGTTCTTCCCGGGCTGGTCTCCCTTTCGAGGCACGAAGTGAGCGAGGACATCCTGACATTCCAAGAGCTCCTGAAGAAGAGCGGCGGCTCCGTTTGGCGATCTAGAATGTCTCGCGGGAGAAAAGATGGCGGCGGAGGAGGAAGAAGGCGGCGACGAGGTGGGCCCCTGACAAACCACCACCCGATGTGCAGTGATAGTGAAACCACGCCGGAGAAGATGATAATAAGCCTGACCGGAGGATGGGGGAGACGGAGGAGACGGCGGCCCTGGCAGAGGTTTCCGAAGGGCCGCACACACATGGAATGAACCTGTAACATTATTCCAAATTCAGTTAGTTGTGTATTTCTTATGAATGTCACAATTTGTTCTCTCAATTAGTTAGTTCCTCAATTCCAAAGCAACATATATTGAAATTATGAATTAAAGCTCCAAGATTTATCTTATCCCTTAATTCTAGATTTCCAAACGTTTCTGTTTGGTATTGGCGTTTTAAAGCCCAAACGCTGCGTTTAGAATTTTTTGCGTTTGTTTGACCTAATTTTACTCCAGCGTTCTTCGTCTCTCTCCTCCTTCCGACTCTTCCGCGCGGCTAAACGCAGAAAGCTCTCACCCTCCAGCGTTCTTATCCCTAATTAAGCGATTGAGATCAATTTTACTCTTTTACCCATGAAAATGTTAGAGGGAAATCTTACCGCCTAATCTTCCCGAATAAAGTCACGATTTGGGGATCACAAAAATAGGGTTCTTGAGCAGCTCAATGGAGGCCTCAGATTCTTTGCAAGTAAGTATTTAAGTTTTTACTAATATGATTTTTGTAGCACATAGAATTCTTTACTCATGTTTGTAATTTATTATTTTAAAAAATATTTTAGATGATTTGAGTGGTATAGTAATATAATAGAATCTGTTTTTTAAAATTTGTATGTTTTTTAAAATTTGAATGTTTATTGGGACTCTGTTGTGTTTCTTGGCCTTGAAAGATTCAATTTTAGTTTTGGACTCTGTTGTGTTTCTTGGCGGAGTGATGTATTCGGGGTTGCTGTTTAAGATTCAAAATCTGTTTTTTTAGTATAAGAATCTGTTTTTTTAAAAAAAATTTGCTGTTTATAATGTAAAGGGGTAATGAAAGAGGGAGTTAAAGTGTTAGAGGAAAGGAAGAGGAAGGAGAAAAGTTTGAAAAATGGTATAATCATTGGCACCAAGGGAGACTGGGAGAGGCGTGAGAAATTGCAGGGTATATTAGACTATTGGCATATTGATTCTGCAAATTTAACAATTTCTTCACCCCTCCTTTGTTTAAACAAACTCCAATTTTTTTCACCCCTGTAAATTTATTTTTTGACATGCACAATGTTTGGTCCAAATCTAGAGTTTCAAATGAAAACCAAGTTTCCAAACAAATCATAATGAATCTGCCACTTTTAAAAACTTTCTCCTTTCTCTCTTCTTCTTAACAAATTCCAACCATACACTTTTACTTTTCAATTTTTTTATTAAAAAAAACATGTATTTAATTTATGGATGCATGGAGTATTAACTAAGGAGTAAAAAATTAAGTATGGAGTCCTCTCTTGCATGGAGTATTAACTAAGGATGGAGTATTAACTAAGGAGTAACTTAGAGGTTTTGAATTAGGTATGGGAAACTAAGATAATTAGGAAAAAAAATCAAACTGCATGAAAATAGTGGAATAGCTAGAGTAAAAAAATTATATTATTAAAATGCATTTGTTGGTTGAATTGAATTTATCAAATTTGACTTGTTGTGCCTCTTTTTGACTAGTTGTATGCAAGATGTGTTTTGTTTGATCGCCCCCCTGCAAGATTGTATTGGGGCAATTGATGGAACACATATTCCAGCTTCCATTCCTGTTACAGACCAATTACCGGATGAAAAGGGGTGCCAGCACAAAACGTGATGGCGGTGTGCGACTTTAATATGTGTTTTACTTTTGTATTAGCCGGTTGGGAAGGATCTGCTCATGATGCAAATGTATTTTATAAGGCTCTACGTCAAGAGCAATGGAAATTCCCACATCCACCGCCTGGTACACAAGCATATATTACTCGGTATTCTATTAGTGTAAATGATAACATAGTTTTGATAACAATAATATTTCATATCTTATAGGAAAATATTACTTAGTAGATGCGGGATACCCTCAAATTGTCGGTTATTTGGGACCTTATAGAGGAGAGAGATACCATTTGTCAGATTTTCGACAAGGAAGACCACCATCAGGCAAAGAAGAGATATTCAACAAAGCCCATTCTTCTTTACGAAGTGTTATAGAAAGAGCATTTGGTGTTTTAAAAAATAAATGGGCTATGTTAAAAGTCATGAGAAATTATCCATTTCCCAAACAGGTTTTGATAGTGATTGCTTGCATGACTTTGCATAACTACGTTCGTCGGCATGCTGGTAGCAAAGATTATGATATTTCAAAGTTTGAAGATGAAGATGATGAGTTCGAGGAAGATTCAGATGATGAAGAAAGTTGTAGTAGTAATCGAAGAGGAAGTAATGAATCCGCAATGAGTTCGCTTAGAGATAAAATAGCCGACAGTTTGGTGAGATACAGAGTCAATGTTTGATTTTTTTATCAAATTCGATATGCAGTCATTTCTAAGAGCTTATTAAGTTTATTTTTTAAAAAAAATATAATGTTTAGTTCTTACGGTCTACTAAACTATTACTCTGTTGTTCTATTCTAAAAGTATAATAAATCATTTTTTCTTAATGATTCCCTCTGAAAAAAATATTTTAACAATTTGCTAACCTAAAAATAAAAAATTATAATAACAAATGTAACAATAATCACGAAAGAATACAAAATAAGCTAACTTTTAAAATACAAGAGTACATGTTCAATTGGGTAGTTTAGTAATTTACCATGCATAAGCTTTTTTAAATATGTAACCACCAAACGATAAAAATCAAACAGCTAATCACTAACTCTGATGCGAACAGCTAAACTCTAACTTTAATCTCTAACTCTAAACTCTGACATTCTTCCCAAACAGGCCCATAGGCCTTGTTTAAGAACAATATTTTTGATTAGTGTCGCCGTTTTGAGTAATATTTTGATGGTTTTAATTAATTCTGAAAATGTCAATGTTAAAAGCGATTGTCTTCTCAAAACGCAAACCCTTCCTAATGTCTCTTAGCGTGAGGCTCTTGCATCCCCTCAGCAAACATTTGTATTTTTCTATTATACGGAGTATAAATTTAGACCATCGAAATCTAGTTTTTCAAAGTTCATCATTCAAAGAGTTTTTCATTCAATGTCAAATATGAGCCTAAGGGTATGTTTGGTTGGAGGTAGGTAAAAGTTTTATTAGGTAAGTAAAGGTAGGTAATTGAAGATAGGTAAAGTAAGGTAATGAGTTAAAAAAATTGTGTTTGGATGTTTTTTAGGTAACGTGAGGTAGGAAAAGAATAAAATTATTAAAATATCCTTGTGATATTTTCTTTATTTGTTTAGAATGTATTTATATGAAATAACCTTTTACATTATATTGTTACTAATTTTTACCATGTGCTTTGCATGGGCTTTTATATGCACACATAAAATATATATACAAAATTATTTTTACGTCACTTCTAAACATTTTTTTATTTGTTTTATTAGAATTTATTTAAATTTTAAATGTAAAATTTTAAAATTAAACAATCACTCTTAGACGAAACTTCTAAGTAACATCATCTTATATAAATGCAACTAATCAAAATTTAATTGTCATACGTTTCATAATAAAAACGTCAAACATATTGTTCTTCCAAACATCGAACGCAGCTGACAATTTGCTTTTAAGTAGCCCCATATGCCCACGAAACTTAGCTTTTGTCCAATTCTCATCTGGATATTTTTCTTTCAACTCTTTCAAAATATAGTCATAAGCTCGAGGAGTGAATGTACCTCCAACACGATTTCCTTTTCTTTGTTGTTCCAAATGAGCATCGATAAGAAACTCATCCATGTCTTCAGTCCAGGTTGTTGTGCGCACACCTGCCCGATTGGTTTTTGCAGTCATTCTATAATATAAGCAAACAAATAAGAACACATACTATTGTGTACTACAAGATCTAAATTTTGTTAATGATTTATAAAAATAATCTAAGAATTGTTCTTCATATCCGTAGAAGTTGAGAAAAAAATAGGTATTGTTAAAGAAGAAGTTTATCACTTTTTTTCAAAAAGAAGAAATTTATTTTTTTCAAGGACAAAAATTGAAAGTATGCTGTCTCATTTTATCACTTTGCCACAATCTCTCATTCTCTTATCTCAAAAAAATAAAAACTGAAAAAAAAGTGAACCAAAATTGGAAACTGAAAAAAAAATTAAAACTGAAAATTGAATGGCGGCATGGGAGAGCAGAAGAACAAGAACAAAGTCTGAAAGTTGAAATTTAAACGAAAAAAAACAAAAACTGGAAAAAAAGAAAGCTTAAAACTGAAAAAAGAATGAAAACTGAAAATTGATGGAAGCAAATTGATGAAAACTGAAAATTGAAGAAAACTGAAACTGAAAATCTTCTTCTCTTCGCGAGAACTTCCGGGAAAAAATTAATGGAAGCAACTAAAGATCCCAAATTGAAACCCTCCAAATTCCCAAATCACTGCAGAGAATAGAAAAAAAAATGATCGAAATTGAAAAACAATTGAACCAAACTGAAAAATTGAAGTGAAAAAAAGTGCCGAAAATACCTGTTGGAGATGGAGATGGAGATGGGAAGACGGCTATGGGAAGAAGATGACGATGCTGGAAGGAGATGGAGATGTTGGAAGGAGATAGAGATGTGGGGTTTTGCGATCGGGGGAGTGAGAAGGGTAGCAGCCGAAACCGTTGATATTACCTAGATATTTCACCAAATTGGCGGTAGCAAAAATAACACTCTTGAGAGGTAACCCTACCTCCCTCCACCTCCCCCTACCTTCCTTTACCTATTTCAATTTTTGTTACCAAATAAGGTAGAATATTAAATTTACCTTGTTCTACCTCCCACTACCTCCAAACAAACAAAGTGTAACATAAATGCTTAGTTACTCTTTGGATGGTAAAAAGTTGAGGAAAAAGAAAATGTAGGGCCAAAAAACATAATTTCCAATATATTTTTCTTTGTTTACATAAGAAAATGAAGAGAGGAGAAAAAGTGGATGAACTCAAGTTGAAAAGTTTCCTCATATTATGTGATGATAAAAATACTATAGCAAGATAAAAAAAATATGAAATTATAATTTTAGCATTATTCTTACCTCTCCCCGTCTCTTTAAAAAGAGGCAAGAATATCTTTTTTGTTGTATTTCGTGTCACATTTTTTTCTTCTAACCTTTTTTTTGAGTAGCTCCCAAAAGTATCAGTGTAATATCTAGTGTAATATCTGTTCACCTTTTTTTAAATCTCAAACTTTTTTATAGGATAAGGCTCGAACACTGTATATGGAGAGATTATGATTATGAGATGGACCATGCTACACTTACACCAACAAATATACCTCATTTGTACACCACATGTTTGCACAAACATTTCGATGGTTTACACCGACACAAGTGTTGGTGCGTTAATAAAAATTCACACGTACACAAATGTTGGTGCATTTAACAAAAATTAGTTTTACACCAACACAAAATGTTGGTGCAAAACTGCGGGGTACAAATCTTGGGGTACACATAGCATAATCCTTATCAGATACTTTTTGAGACAACTATTACTCCCTCCGTCCTAAAACTTTCTTCCCAGAGCACTATTCCAACTTCACGGGAATTTATATTTATTTGTGTTTTTTCATTGTCTATATGATAAAATAAAATATTCTTATCACCACTTGTTTTGTTGAATTTTTGATGTAGTTTTTAAATATGTATGTTTTATTTTTTATTTCTATACCAATATTTAAATAAAATAGATTGAAAAAAGTTGGGATTTTTTTTCGTTTTGCGCAACGGAAAAAAAATTTTAGGACGGAGGGAGTATTATTTTTGACTCTCTTTTCTAGCTATTTTCATTCTCACCATTTTTTTCCTCCCTTTTTCTTTTCCATCCAATAGTTCAATACTTTCACATGTCTTTCATATGTTGTGTCGTATGAACGATAAATTAACAGTGTTGAACTACTAATCTTTTCATCCTTGAAATCCCAAGTTCAAAAAAATCAAGGAATAATCCATGAATTCCCATACATTCTTGACATGAATGTTCTGCAACACTTCCATATTCCCCCTCCATTATTCAAAAAACCCAACGTTTTCTTTTCCATCATACCTCGCTCTCTATTCTTCACCGATTCAATCGGAGAGAAGCCGCCATTTCTTCCCCTTCCATCGCCTGCAAAGCTCGCTTCTTTCATCGACAACTGTTTGGACGCAGATTCGTTGAAGAAGCTACACGCCTGCATTCTAACACGCGGCTTCGATCAAGATTCGTGTCTGGGCTCAAAGCTTCTCAGTGGCTACGCAAAGCTCGACCTTTTGCCCGATTCCAGATGGGTATTTCGAAGAATCATCGAAATCGATCGGACTTTTGTTTGGAATCCGGTTTTCGTTGGGTATTTCCGAGCTTCTCAGTACAGAGAAGTCCTGGGGTTGTATTTGGAATTGAAGAGAAGGAAGCTCGACATATATGGGTCGGCAGTGATTTTTACCCTGAAGAGCTGCGACGTGTTGGGTGATTTGAAATTTGGGAGATCGGTTCATCTGGATGTTGTGAAGCTCGGGCTAAACACGGATAAAAACATAGGGTCGTCCTTTGTCAAATTGTATTCTGAGAATGGTGCTGTTGAGGATGCAGCAAAGGTGTTCGACGAAATAACTGAAAGAGATGTGGTTGTTTATACAGTGATGATCACGGGCTACACTCAATTCGGTTATCGGTATGCCTGTGAGGCTTTTAGAATTGCGCGGGAGATGCAGAGGGAAAACATCGAACCGAACAGGGTCACTTTGATTAGCTTACTTCAAGCAGCATCTTCTTTGGGAGCAGTGGAGGAGGGAAATGCAATCCATGGTTATGCTCTCAGAAGAGGGATCGGCTGCACGGACGATGTTTTTGTGACAACTCTAATGGACATGTATATAAAATGTGAAGTCCCGGAAAGGGCCATTGCCATCTTTGTGAATATTCCTGAAAAGAGTATTGGTTCTTGGAATGCATCCGCCACTGCTCATCTTAGGTTAGGGCAGTCTCTGGAGGCTTTGGGACTATTTGTTCAAATAATGACAGAGGAAAAGCACAAGCCTGATCAGATCACAATATCAAATGCACTATCAAGCTGCGCTAATCTCCGGTACTTGTTTGAGGGAAAGAGCATCCACGCTTACATACTCCGATCCGGTTTTGTTCTTGATCTCATCACTACTACAACTCTAATTGATATGTACTTGAAATGCAACTCTCTGGTCCACGCTGAAATGGTATTTGACAAAACGGATCACAAGGATGTGATCCTTTTCAATGTGATGATAACCGGTTATATTCAAAATGGTCTTCCCAAACAAGCCGGGAGCTTGTTCTATGAAATGCTAGGGATGGGGTTCAAACCAAACACAAGTACTATAATCAGTGTACTATCTGCGATTTCTGATATGAAAGATGTAAGACAAGGAAACATTATCCATGGCTTCCTCCTCAAAACCGGGCTTGAATCCACCACTGACATATCTAACCAACTCATTGAGGTGTATTCAAGGTGTGGTCTCATGGAATCCGCGAGTCAAGTGTTTGGAGGGATTGAATGCAAGGACATTGTATCGTGGACATCAGCCATGATGGGGCATGTTAATAATGGCCAGCCAAACAAAGCCTTGATCTTGTTCCGTTTAATGCAGAGAGAGAAGATCGATCCAGATTCTGTAACATTCGTTGCTCTGCTTCAGGCAATTGCTCAGGTTGGATGTTTAAGCTTTGCAAGAGAGACACACGCGCGTGCCCATCGGCTGCTAAATGTACAAGAGGACACATCTGTCGTTAACTCTATGATCACAGCATACAGCAGATGTGGTGATTTAAGTGCAGCTAGGTCTCTGTTTGGTAGAATGCCCGGAAGGAATTTGGCTTCATGGAACACAATCATATCTGCATATGGAGCACACGGGGATTGTGTTCAGGCACTGGAGTTATTCAACCAAATGAGAGTGGAAAAGGTGGGGCCTGATCACTACACGTTCACTTCTTTACTATCAGCCTGCAGCCATGCAGGGCTTTTACCAGAGGGTTTGTCTGTTTTCAAAACAATGACTGAAGAACACAGATTAGTCCCATCTGATGAGCATTTTGGATGTGTCGTTGACTTGCTAAGCCGAGGAGGGATGCTCGAGGAAGCATTTCATCTTCTGAACTGTGTGCTGTTGAGAGAAAACAGTTCTGCCTTAGGGACATTCATTGCTTCTTGCTTGGCTAATGGGAACGCGAAAATGGGAGAACGGGTAGGGAGACGGTTGTTGAGTATAGAACCTGGGAGTGCAAGCGCTTATGGTTTGGTGTCCAATTTGTATGCTGGACAAGCGAAATGGGAAGAAGTGGCCCAAATGGGAACAATGACAAGGGAGAAGGGGTTGAGAAGAGTTTCTGGGCGTAGCTTCGTAGAGAACATAGTTTTATGAGGAACTCAAATCGATTAACTTTCCATTCATTCGCCAAATATACAAACTTCAAAACAACACCAAACTGCCTACTCTAACATATAAGTTTTAACTTATGAATTAATAAAACAGTTGACTTGATTCTTTGCAGAAGCAAAACTATCCTCGGCTTTAATGCGCTTATCATCTCATGAACATACTTATTCCTTGCTTTCCAAATACTGTAACAGATGGCAGCCCAAGTTGCTTCTTCTTCCTGCTTCTAATTTGCATGATCTGTTTGCAGAACTCTTGGAAACTCTGCATAAATTTGAAAACTCAACCAGGTAACTTAATCTCTTGGAAGAACCTGCAATCCCAAAAAAGATTTACATTATGTTCGATATGGAAAGAACAGAAAATGGTTTTCTCTCATTTTCCTCACCAAAATGCGAGGAATTTGGTTTCCCTTCTCTTAGTACATTCACTTTTCTTTTCTTTTCCTCTCTAACCAAACAAGAAAAGCTAGTTTCCATCTCATTTTCTTTTCTTTTCCCTTTCAAATTCCTTGAATCAAACATAGTGTTAAGATATCATGTGATCCTCTCATCCTTGCCCATATAGTACACAATCAGTATCAATATCCATAAATTTCTTTAGTCTGCACTTAGTTTGTAATCTACCCCTCATCACAAGTCAAACCAAGAATTAATGTTTTGGTATGGATAGAGCATTCCATATTTTGGAGTATTGAGTTCTCCTAAGAGTCATTTATAATTTTTTTTGGATCAAAACACCTTTCACTTGGATCACTTTCCTCCAATAATTAGGAGCATCATATTTAGGTACACAGTCCCAAATGTTGAAGGACTTGATATACCTATTCTGTATCCATTTCATCCATAGGATGTGTTTCTTTTCTGCCACTACCCACACCATCTTCATTATAATAGTGCTATTCCATTTGACTGGATTTTTTAATCCCAGTCCCCCCACACTCTTTTGGGATACAAATCTCTTCCCAATTTACCTAATACTCCCTCCGTCCAAAATTAAAGTTCCCACTTTCCTTTTCGGTCCGTCCACAAATAATGTTCCCATTTCCTTTTTTAGTAAGTTTTACAGGGTTAAAAGACAAAACTACCCTCCTCCATTACATTTCTTTTTCTTTTTCCTTTTTTCTTCCTTCCCGCCTCGTCAGCCACCCTCCCCACTCTTCCTCCTCTTTCCTTCTTTTTCTTTCTTTTCTTCCTCTCAATTCCGTCTTCTTGTTTTCTTCTTCTTCTTCTTCTTCTTCTCTTGTTTTCTTCTTCTTCATCTTCTTCTTCTTTGTCCTTCCATCTTCTTCTTCTTATTTCTTCTTCATTTTTTTCTTGTTTTTCTTCCTTCTTCTTTCATCAATTAAAAGAAGAATTTTTTTTTCAGATCTGGTTGCATCTTCGTCGGATCTAGATTTGGAGGAACAATTTTTTTTATTTTTTTCCAGATCCATGGTGGGATGTTGATTTTCTTCCCTAACGAGAAGTCTAAAAATAGATCTTTGAAGGCGGGGGCTTGTGACGGCGAGAGAAGCAAGTTGTGACGGCGAGAGGGATGCTAGGGGCTGCGACGGCTGGGCGCTGCGATGCCCGGAGCTTTCGACGACGGGGATGCGAAAGCATCATCGACGGCGGTGCAGAAGCGGCGGAGGCAGCGGTGCAGAAGCGGCGGCGGCAGTGCAGAAGCGGCGGCAACGGTGATGCAAAAGTGTCAGCGTCAGTGGTGTACAGGGGTAGACGGCTCCAATGGGGTGTACAGGGGTAGCAAAGATGAGGGCATAAAGGGAAAGTCAACACAATTTTCATTCCACCTAAATTTGCGCACCGAGTCAAAGTGGGAACTTTAAATGTGGACGGAGGGAGTATATCTGCACATTGTCAAATGTGTCCTTGGATCAATGCCAGAAGAAGTGAAGAACTAAGTGAGGCACTTAAAGGAGCTATATTACTTTTTAAGATTGAAAAGTATATTTATTACTCCTTAATATACTAATTTTATGTTGTTTTATAAAACCATTAAAACATATTGAAATGGTTTTCAAAACAATTGGGAACTTCTCAAGTAATCGATCAAGTTTTTGAAATTAAATAAATATGGTCCATTAGTCATTATTTATACTCCCTCCCTCCCGCTATATTCGTCCACTTTCGACATTTGAACTGTTCATCTAAGCACTTTGACTCATCAAATTCTCTCAATGTGTAAGCCTAAATATAGTCATGTGTGATCTTGTTTGATTTGTCTTAACATATAGATTATTAATATATAATTTCTATAATTTTTTAATATACAAATTACAAGATAAAATGGATTAAAGAAGTGTATTGGATGGTGTGTAAAAATGAAAGTGGACAAATACTCTGGGATAGAGGTGG